TATCTATCTATCTATCTATCTATCTATCTATCTATCTATCTATCTATCTATCTATCTATCTATGGTACCTATCTATCTATCTATCTATCTATCTATCTATCATTTATCTCTATCACTCTATCATCCATCTATCTATCTATAGTATCTATCTACGGTATGCATCGATCTGTCTATCTATCTATCTATCTATCTATCTATCTATCTATCTATCTATCTATCTATCTATCTATCATCAAGAGAGGTATACATGCACACAAAAATACATACTGAATAGACAATATAATGACACCTCTGGTGGACTGCAGCTAAACTGGATTAAAACTAACCCTCTAAGACTTTATTTTGGTTGAGATGTTTCCAGCACCATCTAGGAGCTGATACCAAGAAAAGCTAAACATTGTTAAATTAAGCTAAACATTGTAAAATTTGGTTGATACTTATATGGGAAACCCACTAGGAAAGTTTGACCAGAGTGGGCAAAAAAAAAAAAAAAGATTTCTACATTGTGGTCAAGAAAACTACATGGATGTGTGTGTGTGTGTGTGTGTGTGTGCATAGAACAATCACATTCAGAATTTGGAATACAGAATAAGAGTTGGAAGGGACCTTGGAGGTCTTCTAGTCTAACCCCCTGCTGAGGCAGGAAGCCCTATACCATTTCAGACAAATGGTTATCCAATAACTTCTTAAAAACCTCCAGTATTGGAGCATTCACAACTTCTGGAGACAAGTTGTTCCTCTGATTAATTGTTCACACTGTAAGGAATTTTCTCCTTAGTTCTAAGTTGCTTCTCTCCTTGATTAGTTTCCACCCACTGCTTCTTGTCCTGCCCTCAGGGGCTTTGGAGAGTAGCTTGACTCCCTCTTCGTTGGGGCAGCCCCTGAGATATTGGAACACTGCTATCATGTCATCCTTAGTCCTTCTTTTCATCAGACTAGACATACCCAGTTCCAGCACACGTTCTTCATATGTTTTAGCCTCCAATTACCTAATGCTCTTTCTTGCTCTTCTCTGCTCTCCTTCTAGAGTCTCAAGATCTTTTTTACATTATGGTGACCAAAACTGGATGCAGTATGGTCTTACCAAGGCATTATAAATTGGTACTCACACACTTCACATGATCTGGATTCTATTCTATTCTATCTCCTGGTTGCCTCCAGAAGCTGTGGATGGTCCAACCCTGGAGGTTTTCAATAAGAGACTGGGCAATCTTTTGTTGACAATGGTGTACATACACTCTCCCGCTTGAGCAGCGGGCTTGGACTAGAACAGGGGTCTTCAGACCTGGCAGCTTGAAGACTTGTGGACTTCAACTCCCAGAATTCCTCCTCCAGTCATGTTTAGTTCAGGAATTCTGGGAGTTGAAGTCCACAAGTCTTAAAGTTGCCCCTTGATCTATTCTATTCTATTCTATTCTATTCTATTCTATTCTATTCTATTCTATTCTATTCTATTCTATCTATCTATCTATCTATCTATCTATCTATCTATCTATCTATCTACCTT